GACCTCTGTGGGTCATCTAGTCCAACCCCCCTGCTGAAGCAGGGTCACCTACAGCAGGCTGCACAGGACCTTGTCCAGGCAGGGCTTGAATATCTCCAGAGAAGGAGACTCCACAACCTCCCTGGGCAGCCTGGGCCAGGGCTCCGTCACCCTCAGAGGGTAGAAGTTCTTCCTCATGTTCAGACGGAACTTCCTGTGCCTCAGTTTGTGCCCATTGCCCCTTGTCCTGTCACTGGGCACCATTGTTCTTCAGCAAATACCCCAAGCACCCACTCGACCACATCCCGAGCCTGTAATAGAGCCACTCATGCTTGTAAATCCCCTGCGGTGGATGCCAAAGCCACCACTTCTGACCAAGGGCCTTCAGCGACAAAAGCAGGGCGTGGAGCTCCCGCGTGCCCACCCGCACACAGACTTCTCAGACGTGCTGGTAGAAAGCCCAAACACGACACCATCTGGGCTCAAAAACCCCAAAAACACGTCTGACGCGCACATCCAGGCTGGAGAACAGCATCCCAGCACGCTGCCGCAGGAGAAGCTCCTCCAGCTGGTACCACCGATGCTTTCACGCCACGGAGAATCCAGCAAACCCAAAGCCGACGCAGACGGACGCTCCCCATCCCTTCTGACCCACCAAGCCTTACCTGCTGGATGGGCTGAGGCTGCCCGGCTGCGACGATGGTGGTTACGGCTGTCGGCGGCTGCACGATGACTCCCTGCGGATGGGCCGTGTAAATCTGCTGGCCCTGGATGTACTGGAGACCTGGCTGGGTGTAACTCTGAAACGGAGCACGGGGAATCGTAAGTCATAGAATCATAGAATCATTAAGGTTGGAAAAGACCTCCAAGATCATCAACCCGAACCTGAGGTACTGACATGACCATCCCATACACAGCAAAGAGAAGCAGAGAATCATGAAGGTTGGAGAAGATCTCCGAGATCATCAAGTCCAACCGTCACCCCAACACGCCCATGCCTGCTAAACCATGTCCCCAAGGGACACATCCACACGGTGTTTGAACCCCTCCAGGGATGGGGACTCCCCCACTGCCCTGGGCAGCCTGGCCCAAGGCCTGACCACTCTTTCAGTCAAGAAATTTTTCCTAATATCCAAGCTGAACCTCCCCTGACGCAACTTGAGGCTACTAAAGACAGCTGGTTTTATCAAAAAACCCATTACTGGGGGACACGGTACAGCTTCCCTTACTGGGATTCAAATAGCGGAGGCAAGAAGATGACCATAGTCCTCGAGGACTAGTGGAAGGTGACATCCAAGCCAAACAGCAATAACCAATGACTGAGGTGGGGTTCAAGCAAACGATCTTCGCATACAGGTGGCCAATTTGCTATCCCAGAGGTTGTACAATTGCCTACGTCTTGCTTTTAGAAGGAACTAGGCATCAGGGAGATGCTGAACGCCAGCACCCTTCTTAACGAAGACAAAGTAGGAGACAGCACTTCAGTGTGGTCATTCGGAGCTCAGGGCTGAGCCTGATGGAAAGGGACATCCAATTCAGAGAAAACAGATACAGAATGTTGATCTATTGGGTTTTTTTGCTTGGTTTAAGTCATACAAGACCTGGTAGCTCCAGACCCTGCTTCCAAAAGTCAATGGAAGGCAAGCTCACACCTCCACATTTCACTGCTTACTCGGTCAGTGACAGGGGAAGCTCTTCCCCAGAAACACCCGTTCACCAGAAACAACATCCAAAAAAACCGAACAGATTCAAAAAAAATCTCCGCAAGCTGTGAACTCACAAAATCACAGAATGGTAGGGGTTGGAAGGGACCTCTGGGGGTCATCTAGTCCAACCCTCCTGCCGAAGCAGGGTCACCTACAGCAGGCTGCATAGGACCTTGTCCAAGTGGGTCTTGAATATCTCCAGAGAAGGAGACTCCCCCGCCTCCCTGGGCAGCCTGGGCCAGGGCTCCGTCACCCTCAGAGGGAAGAAGTTCTTCCTCGGGTTCAGCTGGAGCTTCCTCTGCTTCAGTTTGTGCCCGTTGCCCCTTGTCCTGTCGCTGGGCACCACTGCAAAGAGTCTGGCCCCGTCCTCCTGACCCCCACCCTGCAGATATTTAGAGGCATTTCGAAGGTCTCCTCTCAGCCTTCTCTTCTCCAGGCTGAACAAGCCCAGCTCCCTCAGACTTTCCTCCTAGGACAGATGCTCCAGTGCCCCCACCATCCTCGTAGCCCTAACTCCTAACTCCTGCTTACCCCCAACAACCACGACGTGGGGCATTTGTCCAGGGAAAATCCCCTGCCTAAACGTGCTTTTCTCACACTCTTGGGGGGGAATCTATGCGAGAAGTGCTACTGCAGCCTAATATCAGAGCAAAGTAGGATGCTCTAATATTACAAGCACTAGCAAAGAGTGAGCAAATAAAGCGGTGTGGCCGGCTGCGGGCTGGTAGCCTTCGTTTCACGAGCGTTTCACGCCATTCCTTGTCTGAAATGGAAATTACCTGCACGATCGGCGGAGTCGTCTGCGAGTAGGGGGACGTCACACCGTAAACGGTCTGACAGGTCTGTCCCTGGTAGTATATGGCCGGTTGGGACTGCGCTGGCGAGTACTGCTGTTGTACAGCTACAGTCTGCTGGCTGGAATCCCAGACCCCGTAGCTCTGGCTCTGTACCGGTCCCGGCGCGGCCACGGGCAGGACGGCCACGTTGGGTTCTTGATGGACCACGGTGTCGCTTTGTGCTACATACTGCGGAGTTGTCACCTCCATCGTTGTTGCTACATGTTGGACTACTGGTACCGGCTGAGGAGTAGTTAGGGTTGGTTCCACCGTGTGCCCGACCAAAGTCTGCGGGTGCTCGTACGCCGCCGGCGAGCACATCGAATCCATGGAGGGCGTGGGCAGCAGCACCTTGCCAGCGTTGGGGTTGCTGGGGTCTACGTAGGCTTGCATGGGGTAGCCAGGCGGGTAGCCCATGAAGCTGTGGTGGGGCGTGCCGTAGCCCATGGAGTCGTAGGGCAGGGGGGACGTCATCCCCAGGTTTTGCAGTTGCTGTTGTTGTTTTTGGGCTTCCCGCTGGGCGACCTCCTGCTCGAACAGCTTCCTGCGCTCCTCTGTGGACAGCTTGTTGCGATCCTTCAGCCGGACTTTCTTCTTCGAAGACGCTGGTGTGTCATACCTGGGAGAGAAAGAAAAGGCTTTGAGAGACCCCAGAAACCTGCAGGTCCAGGGCATCAGCAGGACACGGACCAAAGGC